TTCCCTGCTGGATCCAGGCAGGCTTCTTAGATTTAATGCAAGATTAATTGACAACCATATGGAAAACAAAAGCATTAGAGAAAGCAATGGTAGTGATAGGATTTCCCACACTATTTATGATAATATACTTCCAATAGAAGGCTAATCTTCGTTAGACTATTCTTTGGATTGTGTTATGAAACTGTTCATCTAATGTTCCAACAGAGAAATAACACGACCCAGTTATACTAAAGCAAGTGCATAAGAGGATGGCAATACTAATAATTGGAGATACCATTATAATAGGATTATCCTTCTATTGATTATCCTTTAGTATCATATTATGAAATAGCTCTCAACTCTGCAAAAAGAAAATTGCAAGAGCATGCTAAAATAAAACAATATGCAATGAACATAATATAATCCGAAAAACATACCAAGTTGAAATGTATTATTAATGAGTACATTTGAGATGAAAACAAAGCCCTGAAATTAACAGCTGTCTATGTGGCACCATAATCTAGCACAAAATATTCTGAAAACTTTCATGAAAATCAAAGAACTTGCAGTCAACGTTTAATAATGACCAACCTCCATAATTTTTAATATCTGACCCAAAATTCTCATCTGGCTGGACAGATAGAACACCGGGCACATCTACATATGAAGACATTAGTGACATACTAGCAACAGTGCAACACATAACATGAATACGGATGCAGTAGCACAGAATGCAGACCAGCTAATTCTCGAGCAGACACTTCATCTAGCTCGCAGCAGAAGCCATAATATGATTGCCACGAAATGTGGTATATGCACATCTGAGCATCTTTTTTACTGTATGACAACAACTTTTACTCTTAGAAACAACTCAACAAATAAGAAAATTAGAATTGTGAAGGATTCACATTCAAAAAAATTACTCACTTCCCCAAAACCCTCATTAAAACGTGGACATAATAATCAACCACCTGTGGCTTCCTCATGACTCCGATTGCTGGCCTCTCCATTTGAACAAGCCAGTATTTAGTAGTACCGGCAGGAAACAATAATGTGCTCCGGGATGATGAGCTAGATTGAGAGTTTAACTCAAGTTTTGGATAGCTGTAGTCTTTCTCCATCGATTCAAAATCAGGATCTGGCTTAACAGATAGTACTCCAGGTATACCTATATTTAGAAATACAAATAAGCATTAATCACCCAAAATCCTCTTGGCAAACCCATTGAATCCCAAATTCAGTAAAATAAGCACAATTAATAAGTATAGGACAACAATGCAACAGTAAATAAATTTAAAGTTCACCTGCCAGCTCGTGAGCATTTTCTTCGTCGATGTCACAGCAGAAACCAAAATGAGTATCACAGGAAGCATGATATATAGACATCTGAGCCTCCTTTTCACTATTCAAACAACAATGAAAATTAAAAATAAAAATCCAAGAATTCTATTCAGTTGCCTGACCTAATAAATGATTTCTAATCAAACCAAGAACTATATCCGTAAGCATATATCACAGACATTCATTCAAGAAAATGAAAAAACCGTTAAAAGTAAAATTTATGTTGCTAAAATAGGAAAACAATACTTGCGCTACTCCTGTTACCAAGGTTTGATTTTAAGATGGAATTTCAAGATTCAATAGGAACAAAGGTCAATTTTTTTGGGGATTCAAAACCATACCCACCTGCCAAAAACTTTTTCCAGTGTCTTGACATAGTAATCAATTATTTGCGGTTTAGAAGAAAGCTCAAGTGGAGGTTTATCCATGAACACCATCCAATGACGCTTCTTAATATTATTGTTGTTGTAATAGTTCGCGAAGGTGGCAGTTGAAGAAGTAGGAGATGCTGAAACTGAAGAGGCATAACAAGAAATAGAAAAGGTGAGAGTGGGAAAGGAATTGTGGGGTGTTGTTTTGGTGGGAAAGGAAGCTATGAGTGTGGGGATTTTTGGGTGTGGATTTATGGGAGGTTTAGCAGAGATGGTAGCGGTGGCGGAGAGGATTGCTTCCATGGCTCATGCGAGCAGCCGTTTCTCGCCCTGCTGCTCAATTCACTAAACGGATAATTGGGCAAATTTTGCAATCTATGCCTACTTGACTCTTAAAAAAATTGATTTTAATGTCCATCAAATAGTAAATAAATAAATCTTTTTTGAGTTATTTATTTTAAATATAAAATTTTCCATGAAATATGTATACAAGTATGCAAATAATATACTCCACATTGTAGTGATGAAGAAAATTATCTACAATAGAATTAAAAAAGGGGGGTTCCACTATTTTCGTCCACAATTTTTATATATCCATCACACTCTAAGTTCATCCTTATTAAAATTTTATTTTTTATAAAAAATATTATATTCATCTACATTTATTCCAATATTAACCTTATTAAATTAATCCATTTAAAACTATACATCCACACCAAATTTCAATATAAATTGTTGACCCCAAAAAATGTGTCAACAGAATCCCCGCCACATTTCCTCCACGTCCACATCACTTGCACATCGAACACCCCGTTAGGAGACAAAGGCCGCCAGCCGAGAAAAAGGTCCGGCGACCGTAGGATTGCTTCCATGGCTCATGCGAGTAGCCGTTTCTCGCCCTGCTGCTCAATTCACTAAACGGATAATTGGGCAAATTTTGCAATCTATGCCTACTTGACTCTTAAAAAAATTGATTTTAACGTCCATCGAATAGTAAAGAAATAAATCTTTTTTGAGTTATTTATTTTAAATATAAAATTTTCCATGAAATATGTATACAAGTTTGCAAATAATATACTCCACATTGTAGTGATGAAGAAAATTATCTACAATAGAATTAAAAAAAGGGGGGTTCCACTATTTTCGTCCAAATTTTTTATATATCCATCAAACTCTAAGTTCATCCTTATTAAAATTTTATTTTTTATAAAAAATATTATATTCATCTACGTTTATTTCCAATATTAACCTTATTAAATTAATCCATTTAAAACTATACATCCACACCAAATTTCAATATAAATTGTTGACCCCAAAAAATGTGCCAACAGAATCCCCTCCACATCTCCTCCACGTCCACATCACTTGCACATCGAACACCCCGTTAGAAGACAAAGGCCGCCAGCCGAGAAAAAGGTCCGGCGACCGTTTGCACTCCGACGGTCAAATCAACGGCCGGACAAAAGAAAAATATGAGTGCAACAGAGGAAGAGGGGAAGATGATAGAGTTTTAGAACGTACCTTAAAATGAAATGAATCACACGTATATATAGAAAACATAAACGTAAATGGGCCATATGTGCAATGGGCTGAGGTCCAAGCCCAAAACCGAGGCTCATGAGGCTTTCAGTTGAGGTACTATGTAATATGTATGTGGATGAGGCCTTTCAGCCGATGTTCTTTGTAAATGGAAGAGGCCCTTCAACCGAGGATCTTTGTCCCGATGCTCTTCACAATAAAAAACTCCAATCCGAGGCTCCCTTATGTTGAAGTCCATGCTATCTTTTAGAGGACCCTCTAAGTCAATGTCACGTCGACAATGTGGGACCCTTCATATCATGTGCGTGCCACGTAATTTACGGTAGTAACACAAATATTCCCATTTTCTGCTGTCAAAATTTCCGATCAATATATTGAAGTACACATGGATAAACCAGATATCTTGATGAAAACAAAAAGAAGAAGAAATGCAGCCAATTAAAACGAGTCCATGAGTTGTCATCGTTTATTACTCAACATATAAAAATCACAATTTTTTACACTTAACAAAAGTGGTTTCTGGTTTTGGTTCTTCTGGGAAGTTCTAAAGGATAATCTCAATAATCGAAACAAAAACAAATGCATTGAATGGAAATACAAAACTTTAAAAAGAAAAGAAAGAATCGCATTAAAGTTGCATTCAATCATCAGATGAGTTAAGTACAAACAGAATATTTTTCAGCAGAAATCCCCTTTTTAGAGTGAGAAAAATATCAAAAAGTTGTAATTTTGTGACTGCGTGGCTTTTTGCAAGAAAATATTTAAACTTTTATTAGACGAGTGGAGCCCAATAACGATTATATTTTGAATTTTAATCACTTTCAAACATGCTCTTAGTTGGTAGATAAAGCAGAAAAATCTGAAAAAGCAATGGGATGATTAAATTAGTCTCTACCTAAAGATTTTGGTATGCAATTGAGACTTGTGATAGTAATAGTAATATGAATATGAGAAAGTTTACGTCCTCAAAATTTCCTCCATTGCAGAAAATGGGGATCTTTACATTGGAATTCGAAGAGCAAAGGGCCGTGTTACATGAAATACCATCACTGTTAAAAGAACATTTTTTTGTGCAGATCATAGCCTTAAGTCTTGGTGTGGATGTATATCTATATAGAGTGATGATTGTTCTATCCTGAAGATGATAGATTTAAAATGATATATTTTACTTAACTTTATTTTTGTCTATTTGAGTAAATTTACTTGAGATTAAAAATGATTTTTTTTTTTTTTTAAAAAAAAGTCAATGAATATACATAAATCGTGGATGGAAATAGTTGTTCCAAAAAAATGAAAAGGATCAAGCTTACAAAGGAAAAATTAGACCAGTGTCAATAGTTTAATTCTTCCATAATTGCGAATTATTCGTCCATAACTAATATTGTCATAACAAGTTTCGATCCGACATGTGTCTCAACTACACATTCGTAACTCAAAATCTCCGAATTCATTACCGTCCCTCCCATGTGTTGACTAGAAAAATTCGAAAGTCAACAAACAACTGTTTTTTTTGTTCAAAATCATAAAATGCACGAAACTTTGAATTTTTCTTTCAACTAAGAGTAAAGTAAGGAATTAATTGGATATAATTGCTAGAAAATTAAAAATTAGTCTTAATTATGCTTAAGCCATTTACCATCTCATTAAGAAATGTAATTAATTCTATTATTACTTGGTTTTACGTGAGCTACACAGAAATTATTCTACGTCATCCACACGGATGTCCACCGTCCGATAAGTCGATGGGACCCACACATTCATAATAACGGTTCAGATCTTGTCAAGCTTCTCGGCCTTGACTATAGGATTGGCCTTGGCAATGGCATCCCTCCCCAATTGTTTGTAATCGAACGTACAATCATGTTGTTCAGGATACCTATGGGATCCACAGAACATGACCCCACACCTGCACTTGAATCCCGTCAGTCCCACGCGCTTCCGGCAAGCTGCACACCTGTTAGGATTAGTCTGTTGCTGCGGCAACGGCATAGCCACGGCGGTGACAGGTTTTTCAGTTTCCATGGAAACCGGAACCTTCTCTTCTGTTATGTGTGGATTAATTATAGAATTAACAGATTTTGGGCGTGAAAGCGAGGAGGATCTCGATTGATTGAGTGTTTTTTCCATGGCGATTTCGGCCTCTCTCATTTCCCCTTCCTTGAAGCAATAATCTTTGTAACACTTTGAACACAGATTAAGCGTTGTAGAGCCACCAAAAAAGCCACAATTATTTGCATACAGTCGCTGTCCTTCGGCAGGCTCTTGCCATTTCTGTTCCTCCGCCATCCCAATCCGATCAAAAACCAAAACAATAATATGAGCGATTGATACAAATTTCACAAAATATCAATCAATCGCTCAATCCCACAAACAATGGGAAATTAGTCAAATTACATGCAAATGGAAGCAGAAACAGAGACAGAATGAAAAGGAGAACGTGTTTCGTGGCGGAGAGAAGAAAGGGGTATAACAAGGGGTAGAAATTGATGGGTTTGGAAATTTGGTGACTTGATTTTGAGGAAATTTATTGGAAAAGGGGCGTGAGGTTTCATTGAAATGCGTTGAAGCTACGTTAAGGAGACGGCAGGTGTATGCTTTAGGATTTCTTCTAGGACACGAAATCATTGTCTTAGGGTGCGTTTGATTGCAAGGGTGGAAAATGGGTGGAAAGAAAATATTTTACGGGGAAAAGATTTTCTTAGAAAATATTTTACGGGGAAAATGATTTCAAGTGTGTTTGATTGGTATAATTTTCCACCTGAAAAATTTTTAAATTTTCTATTCGTTTGGCTTTGTTTTATATGAAAATTGTCCATTAAAGTAATATTTTTTTTCCACAATTGGTTATAAAATTTGTTTCCATTG